GTGGAACAGGGCACCTCTGCAGCTCCAACACTCACGGGGTTTGATTCAATATCCTGCTCCCCAGAGAGCAAATGAACACAGGCCAGAGAAAATACAGAACCTCCTGCCTGAAAGCAGRTAACTGTTTGGAGATTCTACTTCCTTTTTAGCAATTTCTTCCAGAACAGTTGTAATGTAATTATTTGAACATTAGGAGATTCAAGTGCTTTAAAAGAAGAGAAAGGTGCAGACACTTCATATTGTACTGATTTTTCTGGTGTGCTATTTTGTAAAATTATATCTATTCTACAAATCAGTGAAAGAGCCAAGTCTGGAAAACTCCAGGCGTTACCCACTTGCAAACAGCATTAAAAACATAACATAAAAAACCCCAAAAACAAAACAAAACAAACAAAAAAAAAAAACCACCACCACCAAATAAAACATTAAAAAGAACTATTCACCGGGGCCTCCCAAAGCTTCCCAACACTGTCAAGAGTAAATACAAGAAATCACAAGGTGAGTTTGTTCAGATCCATTGGCTGGCCTGTCTATTAATTATTGGAGGTAGAGGAAAGAAATACTTCACTAAAATTTGATGTGTTCAGATCTCAGTATTCGTAGGAAAGAACTGGAAGAAAATGTGGGGTGATTTTCCCTCCAAAAATCAACACACAGCTCTTTTTCTACAGCTTCCACTCCAAAATTGCACCTTTGTGGCATCAGGAAAAAAAAGACTAAATATCAGCCTTATTTGCATACAGAAAGAATGAAAGCCCAAGTTTGTCTCTTCTCAGACTTCTTTCTTTTTACAAAAATCTTGTTTATTTTTTCACCTAAAATAATTCTTTGATTTTTGGTACTCACTGGTTGCCAATTCTACTGTGATACCAAGCTCTACTCTGCCTTTTCAGTCCCATTACAGGACATTTCATTGAGCTGGGAGTACCTCTAATTTCTGTTTTTTTTGTTCTCTGATCTTACCATACTCTCAACAGCTTAAAGTGCATTATGAAATTGCATGCCTAAGTAAAAATCCTTCAAGAAAAGTTCCTGTGATGCATTTAACCCTGATAATATAAAGTTGCCTAGAAGTTTGGGGGYTCATTTGTTTTTATTAAAACAAGGCCACTTTGCAAAACAGTGGCCAAGATGAAGAACACTAAGCTCAGAATTCATTTTGGAGATAGCACACCGTGCAGGTGAAAGAATCCATCCAGAAAAAGCTGATTTCATCAATATTTCTGTTTGCAATTTCCAGTGGCCTCAGCACCTCCTGCAGCTGTRTTTTTGGGGATTGTTATGAACTCAGTTGGGATGGTGATAACCAGTGTATGGTGACATCTCCCAGGGCTGTCTGACCACACAGATGAGGTGTTTGCTGGTGAGTTCAGTTCCACATTCTGATTCCCATTCAGCCTTCCCTGGGTACTGCAGCTGGAGCTGCTCCCCACTCCTGGAGCTGCAGCCTGGGCTCAAGCTCTGCTGGATGTCCCTGAGCTGTGCCCAGTGCTTGTGGTGCCATTTTTAAAACCCTTCTCTGCTTTTAAAGAGCACTTGAATCTCATAACATTCAAATAATTATATTGCAACTGTTCTGGAAGAAATTACTAAATAGGAAGTAGAATCTCTAGACATAGTTACCTGCTTCAGGACTTCACCCTGTTCCTTTTGTCCACAGAGCACCAAGCAAGGCTCTTCCCATCCTGACAGGCCATGGAGGATCCTGACAGGTCTCTGCTGAGACAAACCATGGGATCCTGGAGCTGGGAGTGATCTGCCCTCCCCTCTGCTTTCCATTTCTCTGCACTTCCATGGGCACCACAGGGTGTAGCCTTGGCAAAGACTAACTCACCTCATTTTCAGTAATACTCCAAGACAATCATAACATCTTGAAATCAAGAACAATCAGACATCAGTTTTTGGACAACCCACACTCACACACACACACACACACACACACACACACAAAAAGCCCCTCCCACCTACTTCTGATATTTGTCAGCTTGTTTTATTCACAAAAGAAACAAACAAAAATCTGTTTCCATTCTTGAACAAGCTATTGGCAATTACTGCTGCTCAGGCAGCAATCACATCCCAGGGCCCCACTGAGCAGCTTATCCTTAACTCCAACTGGGAACAGGATTTGCTGTGTCCACCTGCCCTCACTCCCACCTCAGGTGAACACACAGAGCCAGCTCTGAAAGCTCCTGTGCYAAACAGGGCCCAAGCTATCAAAAAGCAGGATGTCCTCAGTGCAACTCAGCACCATTCAGCTGCCACAGGAAATCAGCAATGCCTGAAAGAGCTGCAGACAATACATGAAGCAGCAGGAGAATGTGCTGACACGCACCCTGGTGCGGGGGAACATTCCACCTGATCCATCCCAAATGCAGAAAGCCTCCTCCTGGCCACAGCTTTTTGTTTAGGCAATCTGCAGTTTCCTTGTCTCACCCCTGTTACACAGCTAAATAGATTTTATGTCTGTTTTGCCCTGTTCTGTACCTGTGGCAAATACAAGAGCAACAATAAATAGTCACAGATCAAGAGAYAAGCTTTTGGCTGAGAGGATTAATTAAAATCTTTCTAGTGCCAAATGTGAAAAGGACAGGACATCTCTTTGCTGKTACAGAGCACTGCAATCTGTTACAGCTCTACTAAGGACTGCATTTTAGAGGCTATAAAGAAAAAATACATACTTTAAGGTCAGTCTTTAACACACTTTTTTTTCTTTTCTCATCTTTTTTTACACAAATCAAGCATGCATTTCCAGAACAAAGATAATCAGTTCCAGTCAAGCTCAAAGAATGTCTACCCTTAACTGCAAAATAAAACAAAGAGTTGGGAACTTATTAGTGATATATATAACTACAGCCTTGTATCTGAGAGCAAAGAGTTTATTACCTGTATTACTACTTTTGAAGGAAGAAGTGATTTATGGAAGTGTGCTGTGTCTCCACAGACCATTGCACTGGCAAATACAATACTGCAGGACTGGTGATACAAGTTGTTCCATGATTTCTGTATTAGTTCAGCTGCAACCAGAAGTTCCTCCTCAGGTGAGCTGTTGGGAGGGAGACTGGAGCTGATCCAGGTGGGTCAGTCAGAACCACAGCCTCACCACAACCATGTCCTGTGCCTAAGCCATCAAAGGGCATTTCTGCCTTGCCACAAATGGTGAATTTAGTTTCAGGAGATCTGTACCATRTGCAGGGCACAGCATTACTGCACATTCCAAACGCTGCAGGGAAGTAGGGCAGGAATTACTTGCTTTGTCCCAAGGACCATTGCCAGGTCAGGACCATACTTGCACACAGCAAATCCTGTTCTCATTGCCATGGTAAGACCAGGAGACAATCTGGCCTGTCCTTCAGACAGGCTACCAAACAGCCTACGAAAACATCACCTCTTTTCAGAAGGAATTAATTCTATTCCTCTTCAGTAACCAGTGTTTGGCTATAGCAAAATGCCCTGCACAGAGGGCCAAGAGAAAGAAGTTAGATTTCCCTCTCAGTGTTCATCTAAGAGATTGCCAAAAGTCTCAGGATCAAGCAAAGGCTGAAAAYCTGACAATCCCACCAGTTTATGATGTGCAAGCTTTCCTTGGGGTGGCTGGAAATACACAACCTGTGCTAAGTTCATGACACAGCATTGCTTGGGATCAGGCCCTTGGGCACCCAGAGAAGCTGTGGCTGCCCCTGGATCCCTGGCAGTGTCCAAGGCCAGGCTGGATGGGGCTTGGAGAACCCTGGGGCAGTGGAAGGTGTCCCTGCCATGGCAGGGGATGGGACTGGATGGGCTTCAAGGTCCCTCTAACCCAAACCACTCAGGGATTCTGTGATTTCTGCTGACTCTGCATTCCAGAGCTGTGTTATGAGGGAGATCATCTTCCACTGGGAAAAGAGAGCAAATAAAACAACTTCTTCACCAGGGGACTGCTGTTTCCTTGGAAGGCTGTTTTGAATTATTCCAAAACACAGCACACAACACCAAGATCCTGGAGCCCATAGCTGAGAACTCAGCAAGCTCCTGGCAGCCAAGTAAGGAGTCAGTCTAAGATTACTAACTCCAAAACTTCTGCGTTTGTGAGAGAATGCTCTCCCCAGAGAGCTTGTAGGACACAACTGTACATCAYCATCTGTACAGCACAAGAAATTCCTGCATGTCCCTGCACAGACCACGAGAACCCACATGCAGCCAGCACTGAGGAGAATCATGTGCCTTGTGTGTGCAGGAGGCAGAAGCAGTGCTGAACTTTGGGGGCAGAACCAGAAGGTACCARGGAATGATTTCAGGGTCACTGGGTTACCCAAGCTGTGACAAGGAGCAGTGAGGGAACCTGAGAGCAGGGACATACATTATTCACCTGATTCAAGCACAATTTCCACACAATAAGCTCTCTACCAATCAATTTTTGTGATCTCTTCTTTTTTAAAATCACAACTGACTCCAGTATATCTCATATTCTTGTATTCATGATACAAATCTGAGGCTTGACAGTGCAGGGTGTTAAAAAGCAACCAAACAAACAGGTCATAGCTTCAGTGGGAACGAGATGGGCATCACCATCCAAAGACAAATTCAGTCAATGCAGAACTCTGACAACAACATCCAGTGGGTTTAGTGCCAGTTCTAAGCTGGGTGTTGACTGTCTGATAGGCAAGKGGAGCTGGAGCTCAATGTGCCAACTGTGAAATCAAACAGATGAAAACACCCAACTCCTTGGTTAGTTTTGTAAATAAATTTCACAAAGGGATGCCAAGCAAGAAATGCATGTTTGTGTGTTAAACATAAATTATTAAAAATCCTCACTGTYTCTTTCTCAAGTAATTTGAGTCAAATCTGGTGTCTTATTATCAAAGACAAAACCTACCAGGTCTTTCTTCAAGGCAGTTTTGGTGCAAAGTTAAGGCATCAGTTTTGAACACTCCTTCCTGTTGCAGGAGGGTTTAATCATTACAACTGCAACTTAAAAACAAAACCCAGAACCCTCTCACCTCCATGTTTTTGTGGCTCCATGGCATTCTCCTAGCAGCCTCACCCAGATGCTTGCATTCTACATAAGTTTTGGTCAAAGCTATGCATTYTGATGGTGGTAGGTCACAGGAAGGCTCCCATGATGAAATTTTCAGCCAAGTTTGCCTAATGAGAAGTCTGTTAATTATGACATCATATTTGTGGTCTAAATTCAACTTCCAAAGAGTTTCACCACCTCTTTTTGAACAACWGCACACATTTACCTTGGACTAGTCTCTTAACATGTAGAAACCAATCTTTCRGTTTAAGCAACAATGTCAAATATTACACTAATGAAAATTCTGAAAAATATGAAGGAGTGGTGTGTTTTCCAGTTGTAACTTTACAACAAACACCGAGGTGCAGTCAGTGTGTCTGTTGCTCATCAGAAGTTTCACAGGTGAGGCTGACAGCCTGCAGGCTCTGCTGAAAACACTCAGCTCTCTGAAAAGACACTGATTTATAGAAAGCCTCTAAAACTACTGCAGCCTCATCAGAAGCTTAGTTATCAGTTTGACACCTGTAAAACTAAAATATTTAGAGTAGTATTTACAATACAGGTAATTAAACAGAACTTTGAATTGGACAGGGACTTTAACCCTTTATAATGACATCTTTAAAAGTATTTAGACACAACACTTGCAAGCTCTCTTTAAGGAGTCACCCCTGAACTCTCAAGAGAAGCTGTTGACTTGTACTACTCACCCTTGAGACTCACTGCAGCTTCAGCCACATTTTAAGTATGAAAAGTACATCTTCTTGTCTTTTGAAGAAGCTGTTTCAGTCAAACTTTTTGACAGCCAAGAGCCATGCAAAGTGATAAGAATAGTCAGTCAGCATTGTTCAACATAATTTTAATCTCCACTGAGGGAAAATTATAGAAACATGTTAACACAAACAGCAAATGTTTGGGGAAAGACCATATGGTGCTGTGATGGGGGTTTAGTTCATAGAAATGTCATCTAGAATTTTATAAAAATYATATGAAAGAATAACAACATCTTTCATTAACGTCAGACAGTATAGAAAAAATAAATCTCAACATTAGTCATACTCTGATGGTCCTTCTAGTAAGAAATTTAAAAGTRCTCTTTAATCCCAGTGTAGTAACTCAAGCTTAGTGCAATAGGTCAGATCTGGTTTAAAGCAGGTATTTATAGCAATTGTATAACTCCTACAATTGACAAACACCATGATCTARACATGAACACTAAATGAGGTAAGTATTATAATTAAACATTCCTTAAGTAGCTTACACAACAACTCTACTACAAGGTAAATCCTAGTGGAGGCTTCCTGTGAAGGAGTAACTTAAACACAACATAAAACCTGTAGTACAAATCAGTAAATACTTGAGAGTTATAAAAGCTCTTGCAAAATATACAGTTTAGTACATTTACAGCCCACTGCTACAAACAGTACCTAAAGCAAAATATATCAACTTGAACAAAGCCAAACTTTACAAGTAGTGCAACTCAATTTGCTTTGAATACAGTTTTGTTCCCAAATCCTCCCAGAAGTTCCATATAAAGTTAGCAMATGACCTTAATGTAGAAATGTCACWGTATTCCTAGATGAACAATAATGATGGATTTGGTTACCAACTATGACTGCACTAGAAGTACCATTATTACYCTCTGAGCAAATGAAAAACGCAGCACTAGTTAGGGAAAAATGATCTAAATGTACTCCTCACTGTTTTATACATGACAAGCTGGCAATAATAAGATAGCCTATACTTCTACATAGTTTTTCTGCAAGGCTGTTCAGAAGCCTAAGAYAGCTTTCATTTGACTGCAGTTTCTTTATCTGTGAGTTACAATGCACAGGAACTAYTGCCTGTCACATGCAGAGCTTGTTTCAAACACCAGACTGGTCATGGTGAGCCCTTATGGCTCCATTTGCAAGGATGGTGCCATAAGGGCTCACCATTACCARTGGATCATATTCTATTTCACAAGGTGTTTATGAGCAAGATTTAAGTCACTATCGACAACAGGAATAAACTATGACTTGACAAACTTTCCTACTAACTGTCCATGGCTTCAAAGCCAYAAACAAACTGCCCTGGCTTTTACAGTATTGCACTTCCCTTTAGTGTTAAACTAACAGTTGATGTCTGCACAGAACTCGTTTTATAMCATTATTTCAATTTAAAAAGCAATAAATAAAATCAGTATTTWAAAAACCCCATGAAACAGTAGCTTTAGTCCCTATTTCTCCCACCTCAGACCATGTTGCACCATCTGAAACAGGGCTGGACAGTCTTTGGATACCAACTGCATAATTCTTTCAGCATAACAGACCCCCCCATATCTATCAGAGAAGCAAATGAAGCTTTCTACAGCAATATTAGACACAAAGACAGTACCCTTGAGTGCATATCTCAATTAGCTTAAAAGGATGTGTTGCCTTAGCTGRAGATAAATTCAGGAGTCAGACACAGTTGCTGTGTGAGTGTATTGTCTCTGGGTTACCTCACTAACATTTAATGGCTCGTCACTGCAGGGACAAGTTGCTGAAGTCTTTAGCAGAGTCTCTGATCATCTGATCCACGCTGGAGCTGCCAAGTGCACAGGCTGCCCTCTCCTTGTCCAGCAGCCCCAGGCTGTGCAGGTTGAGGATGGAGTCGGCGATGATCCGCGCTGTTCTCTTCTGGTACCCGCCCGACGTCACCATCAGGATGGGGATCCTGCGGCTCCGCGCAGCCTTGAACACCAGCTCATCTCTCTTCACAATGCCCTGCAAAGCCACCACAGGGGAAAAAAGGGTTAGCAACAGCATACTTCAGTTCTAACCTGTGCTTTATGGATTTACAGTAACTTATAATCTAACTTTATGGATTTATAGAAAGGCTTAAACACTTATCAAACATCCAATACATTTTACAGTTGCAATTAAAAATTCATTTAGAAGTCCTGTTAGCTGGTTTACATGCATAATCGTTAAAAATCTCCAATCACACCCACCAGCCCCACAAAGCCCCAGCAAATCAAGTATCCTTGACTTGTTTTAGAGGACACAGCAGATAAAAGTCTTTAGTACAAATTCCTACAAGAATTCCTGCTCAAAGGACATAAAGTCTAAACTGACTGCAAATTTTACAAGTGTTCACCCTATTTCCCAGGTGAGGAATTGAGATTAGGAAAAACTGAATTCAAAGTGCTTTAGTTTGTGCTCAACTTGCACAGCACTCTCTGACAAAAGTTTAGTAACTCAATCAAGATTTCACAATCCTACGGAAGAACCCACAATTCAAATCAAATTTTACACATTCCCAATCACTGGTAGAATTTTAAGTCACAGTTTCCTTAATAAGAGCCTGTAGTTAATGCTAGAAGAATCCATGGCTAAACAGGGGAGTTGCAGTATGCAAGCAATGGTAAATCCATAAAAAGAAAACAAATGCTAAGTAATTTCTTACTAAGAGAAGGCTTTGGAACTAAAAAATGAAGATTGACCAAGAGGTGCTGTACTGCCACTGAACCCAGACAACAGCAGTGTGAATCTTCTGGATTTCAAATCAGCACATGTGGGGGAAAAACAACTTCAGAAATWAGTGGGAACAGAATTTAAATCTACTTTTGTAAAAACAGAGAGATCCAGATAGACGTAATTCATTACAAATCAGAAAAAAAACCCCAAAGCAAACAAAAAAACTAGCAACACAATTGACAATGGTTAGCTTGCAATGGACAGCACAGAACTAAAATAAGCGCAAAGCTGGAGAAAGGAAAAGGCATCACAATGCAATAATATCAAAAATTAAGGAAGCAGCAGCAAAAGTGTTTCAAAATTAACAGGCACTGCTCAGGCTGGTTAAAGGAAGAGTGTAAGTACATCAAGAAATAAAACCCTGCCATTAATTAGACCACAAACAGATGGTAAAGAATAAAATAAAAATGTAGCAGAAAAAAGTATCTTGTAAAACCACACAAGAGTATTGTTCATTGCACAGTTTGACACAGCCCTGTGAAAGAACCAGGAATAACAAATGAACAGTAAAACAAAGGAAACTGCAGAATTCTATGATCCTTAAAGGAAGCAACAGAAYTACAGAAGGAGCTGTAGGGCCATGGGGACCCAGCAGTGGGTGGCCCACTATTATCCCACATGGAACTGGCATCCACCACTGCTCTGGCAGCTCCAGTGGGAGCCTGGAGGAACTGAGGGAAAACACGGGCTTACTCCCACATTTCTGTGGAAAACAACAGCCTGGCATTGCTCCCTCTCCAAACAAAGGGAATAYGGACTCAGCTGATGCACTTCAGGTTTTTCTACAGCCTCAGGCACCAGCAAGCTATCACTCAGAGCACTCTGAGGAGCCTAATTCTGTAACAAGAGCTTAAAACACAAATGCTATCTTCAGGTGAAGAACAGAAGACTGGACTAAGGAACTTTGGAGAGCTGGGCTATTCAGGCATGATGCCTTTGCAGCACTGGGATTTCAAACCTTCACACATTCACTCCAGAGACAAGAACCCTGCCCMCAGTGCAGATACCAAAGGCCTGAGCTGCAGAAACCTCTTCYCCCTCCAGCTGCACAGAGAAATGGCACCCTCTGCCTTCCACCTCTCCATGTGGCCAGGGAAGCTGCTTCACCTTCTTTCCCCATCCTTMCATTGTCTACAAAGCACCCAGCAAGCTGCAGCAATTCGCTTTTCTTGGCAGTTAACACTGTTCCTTCTTCAAATGCAGAAGTTTGAATTGTTTTAAATGCAAATCTCAAAGTATCCTCCACCTATGAACAAGCTGATGCTTCCTGTGGTGGCCACTGCTCTCCAGAGGGCTTTGCTTCACCAAAGCAGACCTTGCACCTCAGGCCATCTCTTCTCCAAGGTCCCAACCAAGCAAGTCCAAGCCTTTCAGCTCTTCCTTCACGTAAGAGAACTGAAGAGAATGAAAACTGAACAGATCAAGTGGTGGCTTGATGACAGGGGAATCAGAGCTCACAATTCAAGCAAGCTCTTTTCATCATTGAAATGGTGGCTACTAAAGAGACCACAGGGTGAAACTGGTGCAAGACAGCACACAGGAACTGTGAGAGAAGGAATCACTAAAACCCACGAAAGAAATAAGAGAACTGTAAATTTTTGTTTATTTTAAGAAAAACAGACCGGTTACACCTGAAAGGTGAAGCCTTCTTACAGAATAACCAAAATTTGAGTCTGTTACCCAACTGGGAGAAAAAGTAAATTATATCTGTGAAGAAAAGAAACAAGAAAAAGCAAATGAACAGATMTTTTCCAAGAAGAGAGCCAGGATGCATACAACTGTTAGAACCACAAGGATAGTTTAAAACAGCTGGGAGTGCTACAGAGGAAATTAAGTGTGAGATACACACTGGAGGCAGATGACAAAAGAAATACATTGCAAAATTGGTCATATGAGGGAAGAAACAAACAAACCAAGCAGGGAAAATACAAGTCAGGTGAAGTGTGAAAATGCAGTACCCTCTCTGATTACGGGGTGTTGGAAATCAGTGTATTTTAGAGAGAAKATGAATGATACTGGAACAGGCACCAGGAAGAAGCAAGAAAAGGAAGGGTAAAAAAGCAAGGGAGCTGGATCTGAGTGAGGACACTGTGGCCCTTCCCTTGAGGCTGCAGCCCCAGGGAGCAGCAAGGCTCACACAAACCTGGGGRGAAATGGCCAGTCCTCCCAAGGGATCCCCATCCAGAATGTCTGTGCCAGCGTTGTAAACAATGACGTCAGGTTTGAATTCGTTCAAGGCTCCTTCCACATGAGTGTGGACCTTCTGCAGGTACTCTGTGTCCTCTGTGCCCCACTCCAATTCCACTTTGCGTTTTATGGCACCTGAGGGAAAACAAACCAAGCACTGCTCAATAAATAAAGCATTGCTTTGAAAGAAAATGCACAATTTAGGTAAGCAAGCAAAAAAATTACATTTCTGGAAGCTCTCTCAATACACTGCATTTTCACAAAACCTTGAATTAAAGAAAATTATTCAACTACTTGTTTTCCAAGCAAATRTAAAGCATAATGACCTTGAAAAAATCCCATTGAAAAGAGAAAATTAGATGCAGGGAAAAAAAAAATCYGAGATGYAAATGGAAAATGTTACTGAAAGACAGCTGATCTACAAGTCCAGTCACCCATCAACAGAGAAATCATAAAGAAAATYATTAACTTAAAAGTAACCTAAATAAAGCATAAGGCAAAGAAAACACTGAACTGCTATTGCAGAGRAAACAGCTGGTGGAAAAAACAAGATAAATATCACTGAGAAATTATGAAGATGTTTTATTTTTATCACAACACTCAAAACTTCACAGCAAGGGATCATGAATTTATGTGAATTGCTTTATGAATGTRTAACAAGATTCAGCTTTGCCCCAAGCATTTTCAATTTAATGTTCTTACCCTGTAATTCTACCAGAAGAGCAAATACCAATTCTTAATTTAAATCAAATTATTTCTAATGCTTCTAATAAAGCAATAGACATAGAAAATGAAGGCTGAGAAGGTAAAGGAGAGAAACCCAAGGTTATGCAGCCGAGTTTGGGGTGCTTTTATGGAGGGATGTATGSCTCTCCATCTGAATTAATCAAATCYATGTCAGAGCTGTTCCAAGGTATGACTTCTGCCTCTCCACACCCTCTGCCTTGAGTTAAATGATGTGGAGTCTTACATTTTAAACACTGATTCAGCCCTCACCATGTGTGCAAGAATACATTCACACTGAATGACATTTAATTACTCCTGTGATTGCTGCCTTTTGTTCTGCCTTCCATCCTTGTTCACCATCAGTAAAGCTTTTCTTTTTCATTCTGTTATTTTATATTGCATCAACATTAGTTTCAAAGATTTTTCTCTTTTTATGGTATTTTCCTGAATTMTTTTCCTATTGTTATAGGAAAGTTCCTGTAAGTCTGCACAGGGTAAGCCTCCTGRGGGTAAGGAATCTGCTGAATGGATGGAGCTCCAGAGGAGGGAGCACATGARGACAGACAGGTATTGTTGTGATGAAACATGAAGAAGCTGAGAGACTGTGAACAGGATTCTGTGTCTTGCCCTCACTACAACCAAGGAACTGCAGGGTTCAGTCCTCACCCAGATCTGGGAGCATAGAGGGACAGTGGGATGGGGCTGTAGGGTGCAATGAACACAGCCTTTGCATGTGCTGGTGGCCTTTGGTCCACCTGCTTATCAGTGAGATTTCTCAGCTCTGTAAATGCTGCTCAGACCAGGAATGAGGCTTCCTCAGGCCTGAACTCAGAGGTTCAGCTGTCAGCCTTTCCAGCTCACCCTTCACTAAACTAGTCCTACTTCTTGTCTGTCCTTTCTCCTTCTAAGCTTGTGCAATTCCACACTGCTTCCCCMGAGGGACTCAATGTGCTTTTGCAAGGTGAGCTGCTCCCTTTTTGCCCTTCCTTAATGAAGTGCATGGGGCAAAAAAACGTGCAGAAGAAGTTCCTGCAATAAAACATGGACAAAACGGGCAGGAGGTCCAAGATGACAGTGATCAGTTGGAGCTTACCCTAGGGATTCAAACTCTCATGTTCAAGCCTCTAGCCTCTTCAAAGAGATTCCCTCTGTGATCCCATCTATGCCTGGTCACCTAGCAGGAAGGGTTTAAGGGATTTAGCCACAAAAATCCTATTTAGACATTCTTATGCAAACTGCAAGGAACTACATATTCACATGGCTCTGGCCCAGCCTCMTGCACCTCATCCTTCATCTGCAGARAGGGAATGCTGSTATTCAGTGTGGTACTGCAGCTCAGTGGCTCAGATTTGSTAACAAGGACTGACTCTGTTTTGGCCTTAATCATCTGTTCAAATATTGCCATGTGATATATGAACAAAAGGATGCTTTTCTTGGAGGAAATAAACCCCCACATTTGTTTCCCATTTGTCTGCCTCCAGACATAGTGCGCTTTAAATGATCACTTTTTTATTTAATACCTTGAAATATGACAATTCTCAAAATCTTTAGTCAAAAGACAGCAAAGCAATGCACTGCACCTAATTCTTGTCACGAATCCAAATGAAGTAGGTTTTTCAGAATGACAGCATCTCTGAAGGAATCCAAGAGCWGAACAACTCCCCCAGCAACCCCTGACTCAGTGAACACATTAAGCCCAAAATAAATGACAGTGTTAACAGAATCAAAAATTAAATAAACTTGGGGCTTTTGCATTCCAATTTAACCATTATCAAAGCCCCACTAATTAATTGTGGCAGGTCACAAGACACAATAGCCATATCACAGCAGGGATAAACAAACCACAACCCAAATGAATCAAGCACCAGCTCTTAACGTGGGTATGACAAGGAAGGGGGRAGTCCCCACCCCTGCAGGGATTTAACAGTGTGAATGTGACACTTGGGGACACGGGTCAGTGCTGGCAGTGCTGGAGGAATGGCTGGACTCAACCTCAGAGGGCTTTTCCAGCCTTAARTTCTATGACTCTGTTCCAAGGCTTCCTTTGCTTCCCACCTCGTGTCRCATTCAGATGCAGCTTTGTTTCCTACACAATTATCAAACGGGGTCTACTGGCAACACATGAATATGTTATAACTTAAACTTTCAAAAGAACACAAAATCCTTTTGCACAGTATCAGCTAATCCTTGATGAGTTCTCTCATAAATGTTAYGTAAGGGAAAGATGAAGTTCTAACAACTCTCTTAAATAAAAGGATTATTCAACTCACTCCTCCAAATGTGGCACAGGTTTCGGAATGGACTGCTGACAGCATCCACCSAACACCAACCACACCCTGAACTCCAGAAAGGCAGTCAGGAAGTGAGGGAAAACACCACAGCATTAACACCATTGTGATATATCACAGTGATCAGTGAAAATGATGTGAAATTTGAGAAGGAAAAAAAAAAAAACTAATTAACCTTATTGCAAGGAAGCTTTGTAGCAAATAAAGAAGTCATGTAACAACACAGTAGGTCTCATACATTTGGGAAGATGAATTTCAATTATACTCACGTTTAGCAAAACCATCCCCTGGATAAATATATCTATTGTACGCATCCATAATATAAACCCGAGGATCATCCATAAAGTCCCTCTCATGGCCATTTCCCTGAAGGAAATTTACAGTTAGCTATTCCTAGCATGCCAACACAGAATTAAATACACTGCAAATTCTAGAGTAATTAACACTACAAAAGTTCTAATATTCAGAACTCCTGTGTCATTCTTGTATTTATAGCCTTGGAGGTTATTTTGAGGTGTGGAGTTTTGAGGGATTTGACAGTATCAGTCTGAAGACTGCAGGTATTACCATAAACAAAATCCTTGTATCTCTGTGAAGGTTAATTAGCATAGATCTTATTACACATGTAAGAAAATAAGCAAAAATGAGAAGCTAATTGTCCTCAGCAGCATCACAAAGGCAACTGTGACCACTAAACAGATCCATCATCTTTCAACTGTGCAAGAAAAGGTCGTTTTCAACTGCTGCAGGGATACTGAGTATTCTTATGTAAGRATTAATGAATAAATAAAGCAGACTACAGCTCTTCAGATAACTCAAGCCTGGGTGAGATAAATAATCCCTGGAAAAATTACATACACTAAAGACCCAACAATTTAACACCAGAAATTCCTGACAAAAAATTGTACTGGGTGTAGAGAGGGATGCTCAAGAGAAAACTCAGATTTTAWATCGTTCCCCCTCCACATTTCTGAATTTAAATACTATTATTTTGGCTCTCACTTGAGATTTTCTTCATTAATATAAAAATCATTTTACCACAGCAATCACCAAGATCATTTTGTTTAAATCAGTGTATCATACAGGACCACAATCCTGTCCCCTGAATTTCATTTATACTACAGAAACAGGCATTTCCATATATATATCTGCTGTAATTCAGTTTTTATGCTAAAAAAATGGCAACTCTATTTCTTCAGCATCTTTGGTCCACAAATAAACAGTTCATGCACACAAGCCTAGGAATATGAAAGCCTCTGGGGGAACCATTTCCTTATGAAAGGTGAAACTCACCACTGCACTAAGAATTGGCATAGTGACGAGATGAGAATATCTGCATCCTTAAACAGGATCTGCTGYGCTACTTCACACACCTCTCGTCCCCCAAAGAAAGGAAACAAGAGGKGATTTAATGTGCACACTGACACTACCAGCACATCTGAAAACCAAAATACATTCCAAGAATTTTTCAAAACCAAACAAACCAACCATTCCCATATAGCACAAAACAAATCCACACCTTGACAGAGAGGCTGAAGAGAACCTGAACAAAAAACAACTTTCTATTGCATAATCTATGTCCTGTTATGGYAATTTTAGGACACAGATAATAGAAACGAAAGAAGATGAAAAACTTACAGCCACTAGGCATCCTCAGTGCTACAGAACTATATAAAATTATTTCTTTACATATAAAAAATTACCTGAAAATGCCTCAGGTTGGACATCACCTTGGCACATTACCTGCTTTTCTAAAAATACCATTTCCATTCTTTCAGGACTGATTTTGCAAATCCCACCAAAGCTGAGATTTGGTCTCAGTACCAACAGTAAATCACTTCACCAGATGAAGAGGGATGTATCCTTTACTCCATTTGCCTGAAGTCAAGCTTAAAATGAAACCCCTGAAGGTCAGATCACTCCCCTGCAGAGGCTGCTGCAGTGACCAGTGTTCTGAACTAGTTGGAAYTGAGTCTGGAGAGATCCTTGGTTCTCATCCCCAGAGACTGTGAGTGCAGCACAGCAATGTTTTTAYATGTAGCCACATGATGGAGCTGCAACTCAGGTTAACTTTATTAAACTGGMTTAAGAGCCTTTTGGACCATAAAACAATCCAACAATCAACTCTGCACAGTTTTCATAATCTCTGATTAACTCTGTATTCTGTGAGTTTATACTCGTATTAAGAAAAGGGTATTTATCATACACTTGTATTTCAAGTAAAACATCAGCACCACTSAATACATGTAAACTACTCACCTGATGGGCATCCAGATCAATAATTGTGGCTCTGGACACTCCTTGTACTCTCTCAAATAAGAACTGGATACATAAGCAAGGAAAACATGGAGAAATTGATGAAGTCAGGTGACAAACTGAACTGGAGACTCCAAGATTGCACAGTACATGACTGTAGTAATTTGAATGTAGGCTGTATCTATTTGTTTCAGTCACCAAATAAACCGAGACATTATTCTCATACATTTAATTACACATCTCATGATTTGATATAAGTAGATATTTTTTGTTAAAATAAAATCCCTGTAYATTTCCACCAGATAAAACCGAGAGACCAGGCCCACCCAAGGATCAGAGYTGATGGTGGCACTGGTACTGTCAGAGGCTGGAGTGGGACCAGTGACAGCGTTCAAAAAAGCTGCAAAAGCCTAAAATTCACTATTTAGGAAAAGCTGCCTTAAGGATTGCACGCTTTAGAGCCACTTTTAGTGACTCTCACTTTTAGTGAGAATTCATTTCTCATTCTGTCTGGGAAGAAAAAGACGTTTTTTTACTTCTTGGAGTCTTAACTTTGCTAAGCTACTGTCTTTAATATAGACGTGGAAAAACCCAAACATTTTGTAATACCTGTCACCCACTATAATTTCTCAATCTGTATTTTAATGGTAGGTGAAAAAAGAACACTGTGGATTATTTTCCTGCAATTTACCACCTACAGAAATTAGGATGTTATGTCACATGGTGTGCTGCAATCATTACAGCTCTTTAATGTTTGATTATTACTGATACTTTATAAATATTCTAGTATACAAATATACCATAGCTCATTTGATAAAAATAAGCCCTAATTGCAGAAGGCTCTTACTTCAGCCATTCAACAGCTAAATACCAAATGTATTCATTCCCATTTGGTGACTATTCTGGAGTCACTCACATTTTTATTCATGAATCTGAACCAATCTGAGCCCTGTATGGTGCCGCCTGATTCAGAGAGAGGATTTTTGTCTCTGCACTTGTCTTGACTGTAACCACTTAAACTCAGGTGGRCTGTCCAGTTTCACCTACAAGGCCAGGAGAATTATCACTGAGGATATTAACAGTCCATTGGTTTGATTTGGGGTGGGCTTTGCAAGACAACATTATCAATRCAATTACACTGGTGCATATTTACACTGATAATTCTGACCCCTGCAACTCTTCCCTTCCACTTCTCAACTCTGCATATTCCTACTCCTACCCATCTGGAGGGAGCTTCATTTTCTCCTATTAGGATGTAAATGAGTTTCTAGGAATTTATGTAGATTTTTCCTTCATTTGCACAAACAGCACAAAACAGTGGTTTAAGAGTAGYTCTTACCTTAATAGCCAGTGTAATGTCAGCATATGCACAAAATCCTCCACCTTTGTCACTGGAGCAGTGATGAAAACCACCCCCTGATGGGAAAATGGTAAAGGGGTGAAAAGTCAGGTACTAAAAACATTGATGGGCTTTGCAAAGAGAGAGATTATTTATATGGCAGGCACAAGTAACATCATTATAAGGACCTGGAAACTTCTTTTCCATGCTGAACATCAAAAAACATATTACAAAAAAGAAATTAAACCAAACCAACAAAAAAAAAAAAAAAAAAAAAAAAAAAAACCAAACAAAAAAAACACAAAAAAAACCCACAAAAACCCCAAACCAACCAAACAGAACAAAAAATCACCCCAAACAAAAAACCCCAACCAACCTCCTCCCAAAAATCCAACAAAAACCCTACAAACAAAACAACCAAAACAAAGCAAAAACAAACAAAAAGCCCTCCCACAACTACACATAAAAACCCAAACCCAAAAATAAAAAAAGAAAATCAACCAAAAAACCCTAAGGATATGGTGTCATTATCTGCACACGCCTTTGACTTCTACAAACACTCAGACCAAAAGAAACATTAAGAGCCCCTCTTCAAAACAGAAAACACACACACGCTTTAAATGGAAAATGCACTGAGAGCTCCCCCTCCCTGAACATATTTTTCATTTAATAAATCAGAACCTTTTTACTGAGAAATCCACTAGACATATTTAAACAAGAAACTTAACAAGTTCATTCTATGTATCAGGATAGGACAGGTTTTGGGGTTTGCTTTTAATGTCTATTCAGTTTTTAATAAYAGATATTCACTTTGTAGGAGACAGGTGCAAGAAATAAAGGATAAATCCCAGAATTGATGAGCTCTATGAAAACAATAAGCTAAGGCTGGTATGACACAAATTTTGCTTCAGTGGTTTCCTGGCTCTGCACTGCTACTTGCTATGGGCAGAGGAACACAWTTATGTTTTTACTATATCCTTCATAACCTGGCTATTCAAGTCTTTTTCAGGAAAAACTGCACAGCCAAAAATAGACACTCCTTGGTCCAGCTCTGCTCTTCCACAGTACAACCCATCCCTTTGAGCCATTATAAAATATACATTAGCTGATGATAAGAATAATGAACATTATTTTATAATTTGTTAGCAAGTATTTAAYTGAAACACGCCAAACGTTTTTTCTCATTTTTTCCCACTACTTCCATCCACTTTCCCTTCTAAGTAATTCATAAATTTCAGTTACCTTTTCTTTCCAAAAGGATTTTATTATAAAACTGCAATAGTGAATGAGAAAACAAATTTGTTTTGTACTTTGTCCATGTATTTTGTCCATTTTTTTAATACTTTGGAGTGGATTTTGGTTAAACATAACCATCACTTTCTTTTATAATAAACAGAATACACATAATGTAAAGGAAAATCAGATGCTTTTACCCACCCTATTGTAGGTAACATTGATGCCCTAAGTTTGTACTTACCCACATTGATGGCCCAGCCCCTATCCACAGCAAGTTTTCCTGCCTTAAAAAAAAAATCACAGTTGGAATTCCACAAATGAAACAGGCAACACTTAACAATGTCTGCTCCCACCCCAAATCACTCCTGGCATTCCAACATGCTCGTGGAATTTTTGGATCTTTTGTCACTGGAGGTCATTCTGAACCAGATCTCTGAGTACAAACCTTACAAAACTCTCCTCAGCATAAGGAGCTCAAAGAATATTTGTGATGTCATCTGTATTTCCTTCTCTGGCAACTGGAAAAGGGAAAGTGCAGTGCTGGGAACAGTAAAAAACAGAAGTTCCCAATGTCCCTCCTGCTCATTTACAAATAGGAGGAATGGAAGCTTAAACTACTAGAAACATAGAAATAAAAGAACCATATTTCCAGCTAGGGGTGGGGCCAGACAAGTGCTCCAGTATGAAGTGTCCTGGGACTTTTTATTTTTTAAAAGATAGAACATGCAGGATATAAAGTATTATCAATCTTTTCCCCTCCAGTACAGGAAAACAGTACCTGTATCTCTTCTTTGAACTCAAATGACATTCAGGGAAGGGAAAGACAAAGAAGAGATACACAAGGCTTAAATGATGGAATTTTAACTGAAAAGCCTGATTATTTTGGCCAGGAAGAGTCAAACAAGTGTTTAAGTGCAGCATTCCTTAACTGCTCTGTTAAAAGTAA